GTGCAACCGGTTCGGTACAGCAGGGTGGCGGTTGCCTTACACAGAGAGAGAGGTTAAGATATATGTAGAACAGAACACTCGTGCTAGTTTCCACTTGCCTGTGTTGTTGCCAGATGCCTGTCGCACAAAGGTGTCCTGTAGTGTTCACCTGTTGTGCAAAGACAGAACCATATTTATTTGTTTCTGGATGACCCCGTCATGGGACCTCAATGGTGGTGACACCAGCGTAACGGACGCGCGCCACGCCCCTCGTTGTTCCATGTAGAAGACCATACTGCATCGTTGATTGTTTTGCAATAGTTGCGTGTGCCCGTGGTACAGGCAGTAGTGTATCTGAGTAGAGAACATCGCCTCTGTTTTATGTGCTGTTCGGCGATATGTGTACCGCGTTCCCGGGGTGAAGTTCCCCTTTTTTCTCTTTTTCCCCAGACAAACTTGAATCACGTGAGTGCTCTGTCTCATGAGCAACAGCAATGCTTGGGACAGGGCATGCCCCGGGTGGAACAAGGCAGGGCGGGGAGTAGATGGGAAGGACATTGGGGGGCGTGCGCCAGTGCGTCATGTTGTCACACGTACGGCTACAAGCAGCTATCCTCGCTGAACACCAAACCGGAAGGAACTTTCCCAGAACGTTGCTCGGTGGAAAGGTGGTTGTTGTGTAGGCAAGTTGACTGTAATAGTCGGGAAACTTGTCCTGCTTGTACTGGTAGCATCAATGCACAGGCCACCCGCATGTGCTGCTGGTGCACGAAGGGGGTACGGCAGCATCTGGACGTTACCGCTGCTGCCGGGCAGTGTTGGGTATGATCGATACACCTGCCTCCAGTCTTCTGTTGGTTGTTGTTGTTGTTGTTGTTGTTTCTCACATTAGCTCTAGACTAAGGTCCACGAAAAATGGGGAGCCCGTGGTCTCAAAACCCGGCACATAAGACGCCGCGGGGAAACAAAACAAAAATAGGGTACAAACCACTCGGAAAAAGAAAAGAAAATGATAGAAAATAACAGGTATCGCACCGACCGTTCGAGAAAAGAGCCCTCGGAAACCGATCAAAATAAAACAAAAACAAAAAATAAAGGAGGACGCTTCCCACACCCGCCCGAAGAAAAAATCAAAGGGTAACGTACCAGCACCAGGCCCTACGCACCAGGGCATGGGAGTAACGGAGCAAACAGGACAAAGAGGCGGCAGATGGGCAGACAGCCAGACGTACAAAAATAAAAGCGATAGGAAAAGCGAGATCAAGGTACCCAACACAGCAGAGTAGGCAGGGAGGTCATGAAAAAAAGAAACACAGCACAGAGGCCGAAGGCAACACAAAGGACATACATAAAGGAGTATAGCATACAGCAGGGAGGGAAACAGGGCGCAACAACATCAGCCGAGTACATTGTTCGCCACAAGTGCTGCCTCGGCCGCCCTACTCGCTTCTACAGCAGTGCCCGGTCGCCGTTTCTCCCCCCCCACCGCCGCTTCCCCGGCTCTCTTTCTCTTCGGTCCTGAGATGGCCGTACTCTCTGCTGCTTCCCTCGCGCGCTGGCGCTTCGCGGACGCTTCCGCCTCCTGCCTGTGCCATTTCCTCATGAACCATGCCGCCCCGTCCTCGACCTTGTTGTACCACACCTCCGGGTCCTTCGCGCTCCCTTTCCATTTACACCCCTTCCTTTTCGTCTCCCGTGTTGAAGGCCACGAGGTCCTCTCCTAGACGAGACACCCAGTCGCTCTCCTGCCCGCCCCGGTATCCCACGCCCCCCGCCATCGCTCCTAACAGCATGCGCTTGGGGAGGCGGCTGTCCTCCATGCGCATAACAAAGCCCGCGAAACACAGTCTCCGTTTGCGCACGGTGGCCTCGATGGTTT